CTTCCCTGGTGGCGCAGTGGTTGAGAGTCCGCCTGCCCATGCAGACGACGCGGGTTCGTGCCCCGGTCCGGGAAGATCCCACAGGCCCGTGAGCCATGGCCGCTGAGCCCGCGCGTCCGGAGCCTGTGCTCCGCTACGGGACAGGCCACAACAGTCAGAGACCCGCGTACCGCAAAAAAAAAAAAAAAAAATGATGGCTGTACGTTCAATACTCTTTCTTCCATGAATTGACTTCCCAGCCTTAATACCTTCTTCTTCGCAGGCATGTAGCTTGAGGAAAGTAAAGCAGGACTAGCCATGAGGCTGTTCACTGTGGGAAGCGAGCCAGGACGCGCCCCTGACAGGAATCCGTGGACTAAGCAGCCTTTCAGGCCTTGGCCCAGATCCCAGGAAAGAAGAGCAAGGGGCTTTCCACCTGCCCCAAGCCTCACCCGGACACCAGGCCTCTCGGGTTCCAGCCGCTGGGGCTCCGCCTCCAAAGCCGACCGCCTCCTCTCCGCGCCTTTTCCCCGCCCCTCCCCTCACGCTCGACGGGCTCGCTCCCGCGCAGGGCACGCGGGCGGCGCGCGACCACGCGGACGCGGAAGGAAGGCCGGCAGGGCCCTCCACCGCGGGGGCGAGCGCGCAGGCGCCTTCCTGGGACCCGCTGCGGCGCGAATCCTCGCGTTCCGCGGGCTGCGGGGTAAGGGTCACTGCTGTTCTGGGGCGCCCGGCCGGGGTGGGGAGAGACTGGGGCTGGCGGCCCGGCTCCCGGCACCGCTTAGCTCAGAGGAACGGCACGCGAGGCCTCCGCAGACCAGCCCGCAGGCTCGCTTGGGAGTCGGCTGGGGGACGCGGTGATGGTGGGGGGACCCTGGGCTGGAGCGGCTTGGCACCCTTGTTCCTGCGGTCCTGAGGGTCTGGCCCGCCGGAGAAAGGGAGAGACACATCAGGAGGGGTCCCTTTGGCGAGACGTGCTCACCTGGGATAGCAGTAGTCCCTGGCTGTGGTGTCCACCTGGGGGAGGCACCTTTCAGGCTGAAAGGAGCAAGTTCGGCCCTGGGACGTGGACGGCAGACTTTTTTTTTCTGTCGAGACGCACCCTTGGGGCAACGTAGGACGGAAAACTCCTCTGCTGTCCGCGTGGCAACTTCGTGGCGCGAGGATGGGTTAGGAAGTTATTTTGCTTTGCTTTACAGATGGGAAAAGTAATAACCCTTTTTACTGTGCAAGGAGAAGAGATCGGTTAAAAGTCTCACAGAATATCTTTAACCATAAAGGACTCAGTAAAATTAGGTACTTCCCTTCACACACGAAGATCTCCATTCAGCAAATATAATACTTTTTGAGTACCTGCTTTCTGCCAACATTGTTCTAAGCGCAGGGAACCCAGCCACGACTAAGGTAGGAGGATCCCTACTTGCCTGGAGCTTATATTCTAGTTGGCAAATAAATGTAATTTCCTTTATACTTTTTAATTGGAATATAACATATACAAGAAAATACTGTACCCAAATCATAAATTGTAACTAGTTGATTTATCATTAAGTAAGCACTTCTTTTAACCACCACTCAAATCAGGAAGCAACATTCACAGCATCTTCTCAGAAGACCTTCCTGGAGACCTCTCCCAATCGCCATCTCCTTTCCTCCCCAAAGGTGACCTCTTTTCTGATTTCTAACACCACAGATTAGTTTTTCCTATTTATGAGCCTTTTGTAAATGGAACCATATGGTGTGCATTCTTTGGTGTCTAGCTTTTTAAACTCAAGATTATGTTTGTGAGATTGTTTCATGTTGTGTGAAAATATAACTTCTGATAGTGAAAAGAATTAGGAAGAAAATAAAAGAAGGTAACGGTACAAACAGTAAGAAGTGGAAACCTTAGTAAGGGTGGTCAGGGATAAACTTTCTGAGGGGATGACTTGAGGTATAAGCTGAATGACAAAAGATTGGCCAGTGAGCTGACTTAAGAGCGTTCCAAGCAAAGGGAATAGAATTGGAAAGGAACTGAGGTATGAATGAAATGGGCAGGTTCTAGAAAGAGGGAAGAACTTGGGGGAAAGTGGGAGGAGATGAAATCGGAGAGGTAGGCAGGATCTTATGGCTGAGGTACTTGGATTTTATTCTAAGCTTAATAGATGCCAGGAAGAGATTTTTTTTTTTTTTTTTTTTTTTTTGCGGTACGCGGGCCTCTCACTGTTGTGGCCTCTCGTGTTGCGGAGCGCAGGCTCGGTGGCCATGGCTCACGCGCCCAGCCGCTCCGCGGCATGTGGGATCTTCCCGGACCGGGGCACGAACCCGTGTCCCCTGCATTGGCAGGTGGACTCTCAACCACTGCGCCACCAGGGAAGCCCAGGAAGAGATGTTTTTGATGTCCTTCAGTTTCTAACATGAGCCACTTGTGGAGGATGTGAAGGCCTACCCATTTTACTCATTAAAGAAACCCTACAAAAGTGGCAATACTTGTCACTTACTGGGGATTAGGACATGTTGAGAGACGAAATCATCTTTTGTACTGTCAGGATTTATATTAATTTAGATACATAATATGCATCCAAAATCAGATTTAAAACACAGTTTAGAAATTAGTTATCTGTTCTCCACTCTAAAATATTCTTTTCAGGTTGTTGCTTAGCTTCTGCTTGAACCTTTCAAAGGGAAACTCCTTTCTCAAGAAGAAGCTCATTTAATTTTTGGACGGCTCTAGTTGTTAGAAAAGTTTTTCTAATATTTAATCTAATATTGGTCATCAGTTCTGCATCCATACAGAACTGATAATTATCATCTGTTATCTTTTGCCTCCCTTTAAATACTCAAGCAGTTGATTTTTGTTGTTTTTTTCACATTTAAGTGCAGAACTTTGAATTTATTTGAATTTATCCCTGTAATTTCTGGAGTTAGATTTGGTCCATCATAGATGTTGTCCAGATCTTTTTGGATGTGATTCTTTCATCTGTCAGCTCTTCCACCTTTGTGCTTATTTTTAATTTAAAAATTTTTTTTATTTTTAAATTTATTTGTTTAATTTTGGCTGTGTTGGGTCTTTGTTGGTGTGCGCGGGCTTCCTCTACTTGGGGCTACTCTTTTTTTGTTGTTGTTGAGGTGCGCGGGCTTCTCACTGAGGTGGCTTCTCTTGTTGCAGAGCACGGGCTCTAGGCACACAGGCTTCAGTCGTTGTGGCTCGTGGGCTCTAGAGCGCAGGCTCAGTAGTTGTGGTGCACGGGCTCAGCTGCTCCGCGGCATGTGGGATCTTCCCAGATCAGGGCTCGAACCCATGTCTCCTGCATTGGCAGGTGGACTCCTAACCACTGCACCACCAGGGAAGCCCCATCTTTGTGCTTTTAACAAACTTGATCAGAAAAGTTCCGTGGTGGCCTAGTGGTTAGGATTCCTTGCTTTCACTGCCGGGGGCCTGGGTTCAATCCCTGGTTGGGGAACTGAGATCCCGCAAGCCACGCGGTGCGGCCAGAAAACAAAAAAACTTGATCAGCATGTTATTAGTTAAGCATTATGTTCTTTTAAAGTTTATTATGATTATTACATGTTGTGGATTATTGATTTAACTTGTTTGTATTAGTGATTTAAATTTCCAAGATGGAATATTAGTTAAGCTGTATTTTTAAATCCAGGAATTAGCATTTGTAAAGTCAATTTTAAACTTGATATCTCAGCAGAAAATAGAGTGTTGTAATGCAATTCTGAAATATATAGTGCAATGCGTTGTTAAAAGGGGCTTTTCGAGTTAGACTAAAAAAGGATTTGAAAAGTTTATAATGGCCTATAAACTGTGTCAAACCTGAAATAAACATCGGAAAGTGATTTAATTTTAATTTTTCCTCCTACCTTGCCTCTGCGGTAGAATTTCTAATGAACAGTGGAATGATCAAAGGTGGATGCAGTAGGAGGGAGGAAAGAAAAAGGGAATTTGTGTAAACCAAATTTGAATAATATAGTCACATAGCCTTATTAAATGCTTTGAGTCATTCTACCTGATTGAGATGCTAGACTTATTAGTTCTAGAGTTGTCCCTTGCTATTTTTAAGTAAGAAAATACTTTTTTGACCTGTAGGTAGAATATGCCAATTTTTCCCTAAATTTTTCATTTATATATTAATTGCATTTTTCTGAATATATGTAAATTAAATTATATCCTGTGGTTAAAACGGCCCATGATTTTTCAAATCTTTGAACTTTTAGAACCCCGACCCAATAGGGAAAAAGTAAAAAAAAATGAAGCATGTAAGTGGTTAATTGTATTTTACTGCTTTTGTGTTTTCTCTTAAGAGTTGGGGCTATTATTGATTCTTACAAAGGTTCATTCTCTAGAATGGAAAGTTGGTGTAGTTAGTTCAAGTATATATTGGAAGAAAAGAAAAATCAAACTACATAAATTACTTTAGTGGAAGATTTTCTCAAGCTGAACATAAAGATAAAAGTCCTCTTTCTGTCTACACCAAAGGTAAAATCACCCCTTTGTTTGTCTTTGTGGTCTTGTTTTTACCTGTAGGTAAAAATTCTCTGTTTAGAACTGACCTACTATCTACATATCTCTGTTGTTTTTCTTCACTCAGAAATATTTCCTTGTGAGAGCAGATCCTTACTATATATTTAGATATATTGAGTCACATTTAATAGGGAGAGCTACCTTTTGAGGTACATTTCCCAACTAGAGGACTAGGGGATAAGGAACTTAAAATTATCCCCTTTCCTCGATTCCCCGCCTCCATCTCCATTCCACTTCTCCATCTTTCTACTTGGTTTAATGGGTTTGTTGTTGTAGGTACTATGCTCAGCTAACTCTTGGTATCTTTTTTCTTTTTTCCTGCAGGCTGCTTCTTCATAGACATAAAAATCAGTATTTGACTGGAAACGAAGCATCACTTAAAATCCTCTCAAATTCCTAATTCCAAAGAATTGATAACATTTCTCTGATCAAGAAAAGAAGTGATTGACTGTGTGTTAAAAGTATTCCAGCATTGGTCCTGTTATTTTTCCTCTCCCTAAATTTGAGAAGAAATATGGAGAAATGCTACTTGATGACAGTTGTTGTCTTACTAGGACTAACAGTACGGTGGACAGTTTCTCTTAATTCTTACTCAGGTAATGCATTTTTTTTTTTTAAATATATTTATTTTTATTTATTTATTTTTGGCTGCATTGGGTCTTCGTTGCTGCATGCGGGCGTTCTCTATTTGTGGTGAGCGGGGGTTATTATTCGTTGTGTGCAGGCTTCTCATTGCGGTGGCTTCTCATTGCGGAGCACGGGCTCTAGAGGGCAGGCACAGTAGTTGTGAAGCACAGGCTTAGTTGCTCCGCAGCATGTGGGATCCTCCCGGACCAGGGCTCAAACCCGTGTCCCCTGCATCGGCAGGCGGACTCTCAACCACTGCGCCACCAGGGAAGCCCCAGTAATGCATTTTTCATTTAAGATAGGTAAATAATTTTTTGAATCATTTTTCTTGTTTGTTTTTTGAGGTTTTTAGTTTTTGGTAATAATTTATAGTCTTCTGACCGGGACAGAGAAGAATTTTAAGTTTTATTGGTGTAGTCAAGAAAATACACTTAAGCATCTAATTCTAATAAATAGAATTTGTATAAGAGCTAAATAGAAGCATGGGCTTTGTGATAATGATAAAACAAAGATGTGTTTTAACTGGGAAGATGACAGGTTGAGAAACAATTATCTATTAGGCATTGAAGAGAGAAATGAGCTAGTACTTCAAAGAGGGAGCAGAATCAAAAGAGGCTTTTTTGTTTGTTTAGGGTAGAGAAGGCATGTTACTACATTGAAAGGAAGAGATCAGTGGAGAACAAGATTGGGGACGATGTGAGAGAAAGGGAGGAGGAATTGGTGGAGTGTGGTCCTGGAGGCTGGGGATGGGATTAAATTTAACCTTGTGAGTGTTTATTTAATACTTCTCATGTTCCAGGCATTATGCTAAGTGCTAGAAATTCCAGGTGAATACTTAAATATTTAATGGCTCCAGCACTTAAAGAGTCCACATTTTAGTAGATAAGTAGTCACAATACAATGTGATAATTATAATGTTGAAGTATGTGTGAGGTTCAAAGGTAACATAGAGAAATGAGTGATCAGGATGCACTGGAGAAAACTTTTCAGAGAAGATGATTTTTGAGTTCAGGGTTTGAAGGTTGAGTTGAAATTTGCTAGGCAAATGAAATGGGGAAGATATTCTAGACAGCAGAACATGTGCAAAGACATGGTAGATGGCATGAGAGCATGGTTAGAAGTGTTTGGTATTGGATAGCATAAAAAGAAGGAACGAAAAGGATGGGGAGGGATGGCTAGAGGTTTGGCTATACAGTTAGCTCGGGAAATTATTTGTGTCTTAGAAAAATAACTTTCATTGTAATAAAAAATGATTGTAGCAAGAAGGTTGGGTGTAAAGAGGCAAATGAGACAATCTTAATAATAGAAGTAAGAGCTACTCTTTTTTAAGTATTTACCAAATGCTAGACACTGAGCATTTTCCTTAATACCACACCACTGAAGATAGGTATTATCTCTAATTTACAAGTGGAAAATGAGACAACCAATAAATGACAACTGGGACTCAAATATAGTTATTTTATTCCAGAGTCAGTGCTTTAACTCTGCTCTCTGGCCTCTGAGAAAGAAGTCTTGAACTAAGGCAGTCAGTTGAAAGATGGAGAAATGAATTTAAGGAATATTGAGGAAGTAAAATCACTTGAATGCAGCCATAGGCCTGGGTTCAAATCTTAGTTCTTTCACCTGTTGGCTGCCTGATGTTGGAGAAGGTTCTTAATCTCCATGAACTTGTGTGCCTCTTCTACAAAGTATGAATATTAATATGTACTTTAACAGAGTTGTTGTGAGGATTGAGATAATATGTATGGATTGTGCTTTATTTTTGGTAATGTAGGAATATAATCAGCACATTCGTGGTTCATAACTGTTCTCTCATTTGATCCTGACATCAGATCATTTAACTCCAAAATGTTTATCGAGTGTCTGCTGTGCAGCAAAAATAGGCCTTGCTGGTGATCATATCTTTAGGTCTGGTCTTTAGGGTGACCAAGAATAATACATGGTAAGTACCTGTGATATTGTGATTCATAATAAGACATATATATTTGATCTTCATCTGTGGTTTTGGCACAAAGCTCCTAAAACTGCTGGAATTTTCTAAGTGAGATGATAAAGTTGTCTTTTGTTATGTTAATGAGGTGGCTTTGGGTCCCCCACTTAAGGATGGAGGCTGGTTGCCAGGCAAACCAACCTTATGCTTAGAGGGTGGGAACTTTCAATCCCACCCCCTGATTTCTGGGGAGGGGAGGGGAAGGGTTAGAGATTGAATCATTGCCTATGGCCAGTGATTTAATTAATTAGTCATGCTTATGTAATGAAGCCTCTATTAAAACCCAAAAGGACTGGATTTGGAGAACTTCTGGGTTGGTGAACACGTGGAGATGCAGGTAGAGTGGCATGCCTGGAGTGGGCATGGAAGCTCTGCTCTCTTTTCCCCACACCTTGCTCTATGCATCTCTTCCATCTGGCTGTTCCCAACTTACATCCTTTTATAATAAACCAGTAATCTAGTTAAGAAAAATGTTTCTCTGAGTTCTGTGAGCCACTCTAGCAAATTGATCGAACCTAAAGAGGAGATTGTGGGTACCTCTGATCTATAGCCTGTCAGTCAGAAGTACGTGTGATAACCTGGATTTGCCATTGACACCCTGAGTTGGAGGGGGCAACCTGCAACCTGTAGGCAGTAGGTCTTGACAGTGGTGTCTGAAGTGGGGGTGGGGTGTGGGATGCAGTCTTGTAGGACTGAACCCATAACTTATGGGATCTAATGCTGTCTCCAGGTAGATAATGTCAGAATTTAGTTGAGATATAGGATACCCAGGTGGTATCCAGAAAATTGCTTGCTGGATGTGTGTGGGAAACCGCCCCCCCCGAAATGTTGTAATTGGGTCTTAGAATCACACTTTTACTTCCCTAGAGAAGTTCACAGTCTAGTGGGTAGGGCAGACATGTAGATATATATTACATTAAAATATAGTGTGGTATAAACCAAGTAGACTGGGAGCACAAGGGACTTCTAATTCAGATAAGAAAGGCTTAGAATGCAGTAAGTTCCCTACATACGAACCTTCAAATTGTGAACTTTCAAAGATGCGGACGTGTGTTCGCCTGTCCAGTCATGTAAGTTCACGTGACTGGCGTACCTTGTCACGTGTATGCATCCTCTACAAGTGGCTGTGCTTTTGTGTACCTTACTGTACAGTACTGTATAGAGTATAGTACAGTATCTTTATTTCAAGCCCAGAATGTCCAGAAGCAAGCGTAAAAGCAGCAGTGACATAGCTGGTACTGCTAAGAAGTGCCAGGAATTGGAGGCCCAGAGAAAGGACGAAGAGAGACAAGAGGAAGCAGAAGTAACTGAAGAACCGAAGAGATTCACGACGCAGGAAGTGGCAAGGGGATTTTCTTTATTTGAGGAGGCACTGTTAGTTTTGAGGCACAGGACCCGAACGTAGAACGGTACACGAAGGTTGCAGCAGCCATACAGAATGCAATTCAGTGCTACCGTGTCATCTATGACGAGAAAAAAAGAGCTACTGCCCAGACATCACTGGATTGTTTTTTCAAGAGGGTAGGTAGAATTGAATCCAGCAAGGAACCAGAACCTGTGCCGTCAACGTAAGGGCTGAGTGAAATTGCAGCTTGCCCTCTGTCTCCTGTTGCTGACGATCTTTCAGCTCTACCATTTCCCACCTCCTCTCCGTCCTCCAGTCAGTAACTCTTCTTCCCTGTTCACTCGATGCCAGCCCCTGTATGTCGGCTGTTGTACTGTACTACTGTACTTTTCAAGGTACTGTACTGTAAGATTAAAAATGTTTTCTTTATTTTTTGTGTTCGTTTGCTTTTTATGTATTATTTGTGTGAAAAGTATTATACCTATTACAGTACAGTACTATATAGCCAGTTGTGTTAGTTGGGTACCTAGGCTAACTTTGTTGGACTTAACGAACATGCTCTTGGAATGGAACTCATTAGTGTCTAGGGGATTTGCTGTATAACATTAAAGTTTGTTCTAAACGGGAGGGAAGAATTTTACTAGGCAGAAAAGGAGGTGAGGAGAGTATTCCAGTACGAGGAAATAGCATGACCAAGGGATGAGAGTTCTTTGAGGTTTGGTGAGGATGTAGGTGTGACTGGAATACAGGGTGCATGGTAAGTGGAACAGTAAGAGATGGGGTGGCAGAAATAAATTTGAGGCAGACTGTGAGCCAAAGTAACATGTGAGGGATTTATCTTTTGGGCAATAGAGGTTTTTAAGCCGGGAATTCACATAATCAGATTTGTTTTTTAAGAAGACAGCTTTAGAGGCAGCATGGTGTTTGGAGTAGAACGTGTAGAGACTGATGGTACCATCTATGTGCAGTGGCCTCATGTATGTTTATAATGCTTATTTGAAGTTGTTACGCATAGCTGGTTTCAATGGTCTTGGAAAGGGATGATGAGGGCCTGGACTAAGTGACTAAATTTGAGAGCCATATTAGGTAAAAATGTGACTAAGTTTGAGAGCCACATTAGGTAAAAATCAGCAAAATTTAATGACTAATTGTATGCAAGGATAAATAAGAAGGAAAAGTTTGAGAATGAGTCTGGTTTCTAAGTTTAGAGATACTGAGACTGAAAACTGAGAGGTAGGGCAGATTCAGTGGGGGAAGGTAATGAATTCTCTTTTGGTTATGTTAAGATTTGGGTGCATTTTAGTCATATAAAAAAGCGGGAATTCTGGGAGATGCAATTTGGCTGGGGGCACAGGAACACATAAATCCATCTTCAGCTGGTCACAGAGAACACTTTGTTATTAGAGTTAGTTTCTAGCTTCATACTCCAGTGCAGCCTGGTGGTGACCTTGGCAGGGCCAATAGCAGGACTTCTTTTTTCTTGGCTAGAATCAAAGTAGGCAGATCGTATTTTGTCCAATTTCTCTTTAAGCTCATGCCTAACCTCAGAGCTAGAACAAAGCAAGTGCAAGAGATGAACCAGAAATCATTTGTGCCAATTCCTAGAGCCAATTTTATGTGGGTGGTCTATTCTG